GGATCATCCTCGGTAGTTGGGAGGAGATGGGGGAGTATAGTTGGGCATCCGTTTGCCTAGCTAATATCTACCACGTCTGGAATGTGATTGTAGTAGGGGACTGGTACACGGTCACGAGCCCCCTCATCATCATTAGCTGAGTCTGACTCTGGTCCTGAATCATCGGCACCTTCAAGAGGGTCGGAGCTGTCTGCACTGACGTTGTTCTCTCCTTCTTCATCGGAGGGGTCACTGACTGGTGCTGGCATGACATCCTCCATCTGATCCAGCTCATGAAAGGCACCTTCATCAGCTCCATAATGGTAGTTTAAAAAACTACCGCTGCCTAAGTGGAAGTTGTACTGAGGTTGGTTGGGCCGGTCCGGTCCGGTTGAACTTCTTCTTCATATGATTGATGATGACCTTCACCTTGCTCTTGGTACTGAAAATATGAATGAGGATCATGGTAACTTTGGTAGGGATGATCGCCATATAATTCACCTCCACCATGGATACCAGATGTTTGACCGTGTCCAGAATGACCTCCAACGCCTACGACCGGCTCGGTGTAAACGAACATCTCGGCTTTGGAAAGATTGTTGGACCTCATGAATTCGAGCATGGCGTCTACCTCATCATGAGTGGTTATGAGATATTCCTCATGCCACAATGACCCACTTTCTCTGTTTGGATATCGGTACACCATACGATCAACTCTTCTCGTGCCATCCATGCAAGTAACGTTAGTGCACATTTGATGGAGGTCTTCAAGCAGCGGTCTGGTAGCGACCTTTATCTTCTGAAAATTGCCACCTACGTAGGTGACCCCCTTTCCAGTCTCTTTCGTGTAACCATTCACCGTAAGCCAAGCGTGAACTTTTGGAATGCCATCTGCGATAAAACCGTAGTTCAGTTAATATCATAAAAATCAAAAATAAAAAATAACAATAAAAAGTAATACTAAATCAACTTACGAGTTAACGTTAATCGCAAAACTACTAAAGAAATATAGAGCTACAACAAAAAATTGAAAAGGGAGAAGGAGAGGTGTGAAGAGAAGTAGTTGTCCGGGAGGCCTTTTATAGGCAAAATCACTGATGAAAACCGCACCTTAGAGGTGCAGTTTTCGTCTGCCATGCAGACCCACGTCTGTTACGTCTGCATGGCATGTCGAAAATTGATTGACCAAAACCGCACCTTCAAGGTGCGGTTTGTATGGCAAAATCGCACCATGAGGATGCGGTTTTGTTTGGGAGAAACAAACCGCACCTTTATGATGCGGTTTTAATAGGTCAGACCTAAAACCGCACCTCGGCCAAGCAGTTTCAGTAGGTCAGACCTGAAACCGCTTGGCCAAAATGCGATTTGAGTCTAGAAAATTGGAACGCACCTTACTAGTGCGATCTATTTGTAAAACGCGCCCTTAGGGTGCGATTTAAATATAAAACGCACCTTCAAGGTGCGTTCTATTAAAAAGGGTGCTATTAGTGTAAATTTTTACGGATGGGTGCTATTTTTGTAATTTTTTTTTAAAGGTGCTATTTCTGGAAAAATCCCTAATTTTTAAGAGATACTTAACAAACCGTATCATCAAACATTATAAAGATTCTTGCTAACACTCAATTTGTTAGATGGTGCTAACACCTGTTTCGACCGATAGAAACATTTTTTTTTGTGACTTTTTAATACCCAAGAGTTTACGTTTGTCATTAATGCGGATTTATAAAGAGAGGAGCATCCTTGTCATTATTCAAAATGGGGGATACACGTGTATGTTTTGCATTGATTGGGGACCACAAAACACAAACAAGAAACACAACAAACCACATCACAAATATCAGAAAACATACCAGAAATCTTATAAAACATATAAGAACATCACCACACCCCAAAACTCATTAAGTATACCAGAAAACTTATAAAGCATATTAGACAACTTATAACGCATACAAAAACCTCACCACACCAAAAATACAAGCAAGTATAAAAGAAACATTATAAAGCATACCACAAGTTTTTTTAAGCACACCACAAGTTCTCTAGAGCATACAATAAACCTCATAAAAGCATTACCAAAAGTTAATTAAAGCATATCACAAGTATATTAAAGCACACCACTAGTTTCTTAAAGCATACCACAGGGTTCCTGAAGCATATCAAAAGTCTCATAAAGCATACCACAAGTCTGTTAAAACTTACTAGAAATCTCATAAACCATATTACAAGTTTCTTTTTAAGTATACTAAAAACCTCATAAACTTGGATCTATTTGAAAATTTTCAAAAATTCAGTATGAATAATGTAACACACAAAAAATTTAGATGCTAAAATCTTATTTTGCCTCAATTTTTTTAGACTATATTACAAAAATTAATTTTAAATACTAAATATTAACATCTATTAAGTTTTGACACCAAACTTTAATTTTCCTATAAATTCCAAATAAAAGAAGCCACAGAAGGAAAGATATATATAGTTGCTCCTATTAATTAGTGAGTAGTTACTATAATACGCTAAATGTATTATGACAACATACTACTAATACTAAAAAAGTATTAGCACTCTATCCGATACTCGTCAACTTACCATTATCTTTTAGAAACTCATTATGAACGAGTACTTCTACTATGCTATATAGTATTGGTGCTTTAATGTACAACTTGAAGTTGTACCATAACATTAAATGTATAAGTTTAGGTTGTACCATAAAGGAATTTGCATCATCATGTTATGATACAACTTTACAACTTGAAGTTGTACCATCACATAAAAATACAAGTTCAAGTTGTACCATAAAAGAATTTGTAAAAAAGTATAAGTACAATCTGAAGTTGTACGATAACGTTAAATGTACAATTTCAAGTTGTACCATAAAGACAAAAACCTATAACACCAATACTATATAGCATTGTAAAATTCCTCATTATGAACCAGATACTTAAAAGCGGAGGAGGATTTGTGATCAACTCGCGCTACATAAGTTTGAGTTTGTTTTCTCCTCTTTCCAATTCGTGCAGTAAGTGGGAGGGAAGATGGAAATGGGTTTGGAGCCTCATGCTCCCTCCGAAGCTGAAGTTTTTTGTGTGGAAAGTTGCAAAGAAGGCGTTGGCTACAAAAAGCCGCTTGCATGATCAAAGATGCTCTCCGTCCATAGCTTGTCCGATCTGTAATGCACCTTTGGAATCCATCCACCATTGCCTCTTTGAGTGTCACCATGCTAAAGAGTCGTGGAATAATTTGTTCTCGGTCATGAGCACGCCGCCAATCACGGTCAACATTCTCACGTGGCTCTTCTTTCTGAAGGATAATGTCTCGTACCAGTCCATCCTTCAAGTCATTTTCACTATGTGGAACATCTGGAGGACACGGAATGAAAAGGTCTTCCGAAATGCTCATTCGTGGCTGCCCCTGACTTGCTCCAAGGCGATGGGAGATCTAAATGAATGGGTCTCTTGCAAGGCGCCTGTTGCGAGATCACCGGCCTCTCACCCCCAACTCAATCATACCCAGAATCAGCTTGCACTACCGCCGAGCAATCTCTCTTATGAGATTCACTGTGATGGATCGTTTTGAAATGATTCCCAGGAGGCGGCTTATGGCGTGATCATCATCAACAGCCATGGTCAAGTTTGTGATGGGAGAGCTGGGACTCTTCTTTGCGCATCTCCAATCGAAGCAGAAGCGAAGGCTCTACTGGAAGCTCTCAAATTAGCTCAAGGATTAGATTGCCCGATTACGGTGTGTTCGGATTGCCTCACTTTGGTAGCAGCTCTTCAGAATCCTTTCCTGGTACGGCCGTGGAGATGTTCTGCCCTGCTGAGTGTCATGTCTGTAATCCTCTCCAGCTGTCCATTGATCAAAGTGAGATTCATCGGACGTTCGCTCAATACCAGAGCGGACTGGGTGGTCAGATCGTTTCTTAATCACTCTCTCCCCAGTGACTGGGTTGTTGTCCTTGATTTAATTTTTGAGTTGCTAGTGTAACTGTTCAACAATGTTTTTCGGTTGGTGGTGCAATATAAGTGATCCCTTGTCAAAAAACAGTAGGAGGGAGAGCCATTAATGGCAACGGGGAGTGGGTGTCAGAATGTTTGGTGGCAGTCGCAACACAAAGGAGACGAGAGCTTGGAAGGAAGGGAGATGAAAGAAAGAAAGAAAGAAAGAAAGAAAGAAAGAAGGAAGGTAGGCGATCGCAAGAAGCCAAATTGACGGTCAATGACCCTAAATAATAAACTCCAAAACTAAGGAGAAAACAGCTAGCCTAGGACAAACCTCATTCCCCAGAGACCAGAGAGAGAGAGAGAGAGACAGAGAGAGGAGGTGATCACTGATCAGCTGGTCAGAGTCTGAAACAAGGCTACAGTATCGCATGTCTGGTGATCAGAGAAAAATAAAACATCAAACAAACAACACAACACAACCACGACACACATTCATTCATTCATTCATCACCATCATCAATTCATCATCATTCATCTTCTCTCTCTCTCTCTCTCTCTCTCTCTCTCTCTCTCTCTCTCTCTCTGCACTCTGGATCAGATGGTCACATGCATCTGGTAATTGGACAATCAGTTCAACTGTTCTCTCCCCCGCCCCAGTCCAGTAGTTCTGAATTTCATGGAACCTCCAAAACTCTCTCTCTCTCTCTCTCTCTCTCTCTCTCTCTCTCTCTCTCTGGCCCTGTTGGAAATTACACTGAGAATTAATTATTAGTAAATACTATCATGCACACCCTCTTCCCTTCCCCCAAAACAAAAAAAAACGAAAAACTTCACTGCCCAATGCTATTATTCTCCATCACTTCTCCTCCCTCTCTTTCTCTATTAATTCAAACCCAAATATTAATCTCAATCAACGATAATATACTAGTACGTGTTCATAATTAGTATAGTGTTTTCCATTTTTGCTGCACTTTCCATTCTTGCCTGCTTTGTTATTCAAACAGTACCATGCTCGAATCCTAACCATGGAGGCTGTTCGCCACAATTCCACCAAGCTATAAAACTGCTCATTCTGTACACAATGTAATTTAAATTATATTCATCCAAATGAACAGAGAAACTGATCCCGGTGAAGATGATAAATAAATGTGAAATATATCACTACGTAGCAAAAATAAATTATATATAAAATGATTTAAGATTAACAAAAGTGATCAGTGGGAGAAAAGAAAAGGAGGAAAAACAACTAAAACATTAAACAGAGTTAGCCCACATTTTCCCCCTGCATTCTAACGTAGCTACACGAAACAAAACAAAAAAAACCCGGACAGGACACATTACATTAACGGCTGTCTAAAGGCATCCATCAAAAATAACAAAAAAGCAAAAGCAGATGAAAGGGGGAAAATGTAATTAAATAATCATTAACTATATAAGTTTCGAGGTTAGGATGGTGGTGGTGGGGGAAGAAATCAAGAAAAAAAAAAGGGATAGAAAGCGAGCGAGTAGGAGATCCAAGCACCAAAGAAGCGTCACCATCACCAAAAATCAAACATCTTCGGTTCCAGCGTCTCCATCCCATTAACGTTGTAGTAGTAAGTACTCGCCTCTCTCTCTTTTCTCCCCTTTTTTTTCTTTTATATATATTTTTTTTCCTTTCTCTTTTTGGGTTGTGGGCTCTGATCGATCGATCGATCACCGGGTGAAGTCGTGGACCAGGCCCGGTCTGTCAGTGACGTTCAATCTCCAAGAGAGAAAATTAGGAACGCCGGCGGCGTCGGAGGTCTGATACTGATAGTCCCGCTCGCCGTCCTGATCAATGAACCTGAACTCCCCCGCCGGCGAGTAACACCCCATTTTCTGCGACTGATGAGCCCACGAGGCAGATGAAGACGACGTCGTCGTATTGGACCCGTATCCATAGTAGCTCTGCTGCTGCTGCTGATGGCCGTAGTGGTCGGCTTGTCCACCGCTGCCGCCTGCACTGACAGCAGTGGCCGCCGTCGCCCTCCTCTCCTCTTTCTTGAACCGAATTCCACACGCATTGCACAGCGACTGCATTAATCAAAATTAATTAATTAATAAACAGTTTTTTTTTATTAACACGTCAATGTCCATAGGTAATAAAAATAATAAATAAAAAGAAAGGGACGGACGGACCTTGGGGCCTCTGGGGCCGTTCCGCCAGAGAGGGGTGGAGGTGGTGTCGCAGTTGGCGCAGCGGCGGGCAACCAAAGGGTCGCCGTTGTTGTTATTGTTACTAGGCGGACGGGGTGACTTGGTGACGGCGGCTTTGGTGCCTTGGAGAATATCCCAGCAGAAGTTGGAGACGTAGCCTCCGGCGGAGCGGCGGCCGTCTTGGTGGTGGTGGGAGGAGGGTCTGCGGTGGTCGTCGGCTCGAGTGGCAGGGGTGCCGAGAGAGAGCGTGCAGTCGACTGATGAGGAGGAGGAGGAGGAGTTATAGTAGTTGTTATTGTAGGAGTTGGAGTTGGAGTAGTAGTTGTCAGGTGGTGGTGAAGGGTCGTGATGATCGTAGGATCGGTAGTGATCGAGCGGGGAGAAGAGCATGGAGAAGGAGGAGGAGGAGGAGCCGGTGGTGGTGTTCTGCGGGCAGTGGTAGGATCCGCAGGAACACGGGCCTCCTCCAACGCCGCTGCTGCTGCACCGCTGCATCATCCCGGCCGGCGAGAGTCAAATAAATAAGTAGAGGAAGATTAAGCAGGGGCCACTGAAAAAATCAGACAGGAATAGATTGGCGACGGGCTAGGGCTAAGAGAGAGAGAGAACAAAAACGTGGTGGCGGTGGTGGGAGAAGAGAAGGGTTGTTGTTGTTGCAAGTTTGGGGGATGGAGGGTGGGAGGAGGGAGTTGGGATTTATACGTGAGAAAAAGCAAAGCAAAAAAGGGTGGTGGAGCCCTGGAGTTGGAGGGGTGCTGTGTCTGTCTGTGGAGTCGAGTCCAGGGCCTGGGGAGTGGGGATGTTAGTCAAAAGATGGCCACGTGACTTCAGGGAGGGTACAGTCTTCTATGGGATCTATTCTCCCTCATTATTATTATTATTATTATTATTTACTTTTAGTTTTTAGTTTTTTTCATTTTAAACTAATAATAATAATAATAATGAAACATTTGATTCTGCTGGTGCTGGTGCTGTTGCTGTTCCTCCTGGGGGCTGCCCCTTCGCCGATCACGAGGACACCCCCACCACCTCCAGCATTTACCATTACCATCGACGTTACCATTACCCCACAAGCCACAAGGGCACAACAACCCCACTCCACTCCTCTTCTTCCCACTTCTCCCTCGTGCTCTAAGATGAAAATAGTCCATACCACCAATGTAGTCAAAAACGAGTTTTTACGTAGAAACGTTTTGGTGTTCTAGAAGCGAAAAAGTCGTAAGTTTTTAAGTTTTAAAGCGGGGTTTTTGACTTCATAAGTTATAAAAACTGAGATTTTGTGTAGAAGCGTTTTAGTGAACTAGAAACGTAAAATCATAAGTTTTTAAATTTTAAAACGCGATATTGACTACATTGGAAAACACCATATCAAAACCAATACCATAGTTTGATCTTGACCATAAACAATTACCAGTGGTTTGGTTTGGTTTGGTTTGGTTTGGTGTGTGGTTCATACTTTAAATTCATTAGATGTTAATGATTATTCACTTTTTTACATGTTATATTAAACCGGTATGAACCAACATAAACCGATTGTATCCCTAATCAAATCATACCACTTGTTAAACCGAGGTAACATTATAAACCGGTTTCATTAATATCACTTTCTTTATCTCTGTCAATCATCCACATTAGCGTTGTTATTGATACCACTTGGTTCGGTCAATAGTGTATAATTTCATTATACACCCAATTCCTAAATGAGACCACATTACCAGATTAGATTAGAGTACGTATATACTTACTTAAAAAGAGTTTGGGGTTCTGATGTTACTTAATTTGCCGGTCGGTGGTGATGTTGAACCTTAATAATAATAATAATAATAATAATAATAATAATAATAATAATAATAATAATAATAATAATTAACTTTGGGAGAAGAGGGACAGTCATAGTAGAGATGTTTGTGATCAGCTGGGGAATGGGATCAGTACTCTGTTTGTGCTGCTGCCTGCACATATATATTTGCACTGCCTCTGCCTGCGCCACTAGCACTGCCACTCTCCCCCGCAATTTGATTCTGACGATCGCCTCTTACGCTTGCTCCAATCCCTAGCCAACCCTTATTTTACCTGACACTTCTCTCTCTCTCTCTCTCTCTCTCTCTCTCTCTCTCTCTCTCTCTTTTCAAGTGAACTGTGCATAAATAATGTGATGTCCTCCATTGGATTTTATCGTGGTTCTTCAGCCCAGATTTTCGAAGTCAATAATACAAATTAGTTTTGTGCTCGTCTGATCAGCGAAGCGGAATAGAGTTGATAAAAATAAACTCACCGTTTATAGTGTTAAATAAATTTTTTTATCAATATGTTCTGATAGACAATTATTTACAAACTGAACATTAATTATTCGATTCGAAAACTTGTTTATGATGTAACGCAAAGCTGAAAAAACTCTTTCAACAATAAGAATTGCAACCAGTAAAATCACTACAACTTTGATGAGAAAAAAGCATATGGATATTAGTCATATTACAGATTCAATTTTGTCCACAAACTAACTCATAATTTTTAACAGAATGGTAATAATTCTCAAAATTATGTTAGGTTTTCTTTTGTATGTTTGTGTTCTTGAAATTTGAGTTTCTGATAAGAAAAGTGAACAAACTTTTCAGGATAAAATTGTGTGTTAGAATAGGGTGGGGATAAGGAAGGGTAGTTCTTGAGGTTTAAATTTTTAGGTTTTGGAAAATTTGGGGGTAAAGGCTACGCGTTTATAATGACATTTATCAACAAAATTGCAATAACAAATGAAGTGTAGTCACAGAGAAAAGATGTTCATTAATAACTGTTGTGATATAGATCCGAATCACATATGTCATCAATTTTTCTCTCTTTTTCGATACTCAAACTACTAGCAAAGAGTTTATTAATTTCGATTCAAAATTGTAGAGGTGTCTCAGGACACCCTTACTCTCTATTTGGATCCGCCCCTGTATAAATTACATGGCCGAATACAAACCTATCGATGTGGACAAAATCAACTAATTCGATTATAAAATAACCAGACATGAATTAAGTATAGATTTCATATTATTCGACCCGAAACCGTAACCATACTCGTCTCGTCCTAAATGTATTTATCATGTAAATACTAAATAGCCTGCTGACCACTACCTCTGAAGATCTCCCCTAAGGCCCTAACCGTCTCTTTTAAACCAATGTTTGGAAAAACAATCATTTCCACTCCCCAACACGAAACTCCAATTTTCCACCATCACTTTGAAAGACCTTCATTCAATATTTTGTTTCCCAAGCCTAAATCTTGCTAGCTAGCTAGTAGCTACACAAAACTCTCTCATTATTATTTTTCTTAATCATTCGAAACCTCAGCACTTCCCCCTTGCAATTTGGAATTACATTCCTAAGGATCTATTCCTCTATCTCTCAATCATTTCCCCTCCAGATGACCAGATTTAATAACTACAATGAACATATAACCTACTTACTTGTGGATATTAATTGATTCACTATTTGTGGGTACAACAGGTGGAACATGGATACAATATACTATTTAATAACCATATTAGTTGATCGGGCAAATTTTATCCAAACTCAGTTTCATTTTTTATTATTCTTATTAATTTACAATGGTGTCCAACTTTTAATACATTTTATATGAATTTATTCTAGTTATTTATTACCCTTATATAAGGAATGCGTTAGAGTGGTAACTAGATTTCTAGTAGCCACCGTGGCTACATCAGTATCCACCATTTATTTTCTTATCTTGCCTCTAATTTTAATCTTACGATTAAGATCGCCTCAAAGTAATTTTGGAAGAAAAAAAAGACCACACTTGATTATTCTATATATTCTACCCTAACCCTACTTCTACAGACAAACCCATCGTAGCCGCAAGCTCTCACCCTCCCCAACGATGGCTTAGGGTTTGCGAGAGGCTGAGGGCCACCGCCCTCTCTCGCCTCCTTGTCTGTCAGCTTCTTCCTCGGCGGCGACATGGGTTTAGAGAGGAGATCGACGCCGCCGCCTTTCTTCGCCGACAACTCCGCTTCTTCATCCGTCGTCGCCTGCTTGTCCGACGACTCCTTCCGCGCCTTTTTCTCCGACCACGGGCGAGCCACCAGTCGGATGGGTGGCGATCCCAACACTGTCGCGCTCACCCTCATCTCCGGCAATGCAAATCGGCAGCCCTGTGCCGCCTCTTCCCTCGGCTCGACGTCGTGCCAAGCCTCCCCACTGACTGTCGTCATCTCCCCACTAAGGATTGGTATGTTTTTTTTTAAATGGTAGTGATTTTTTACCGTAGTGATTTTTTTTTAAAAAATGGTAGTGATTTTTTTCCGTAGTGGTAGTGTGTTGTCGTATTGGTATTGTTTTTGTCGCATTGGTATTATTTTTGTCGCATTGGTATTGGTTTTGTCACATTGGTATTTATTTTTTGGCATTGGTAGAGATTAAATCTGCAATGATATTGGTGTTTTGTGAAATGGTAGTATCTTTATTTCTCGAATGGTATTGATGTTTTGTACAATGGTAGTATTTTTTTAATGAATTGGTATTGATTTATTGTTTTGTTGTTGCAGCGGTATTAGTTTGGCTGAACGAAATCAATGTAAGATTGAGAAAAAAGAAGGAAGAGAGATCTGGCTGAAAAATTGTGGAAGTGAGAGAAAGAGAGATAAAAAATTGTATTTAATATATTTATATAATTTCCTAAAATGTAATTTATTAAAAAAGATCATTAATAAAATTTTTGTTATACCCAGGTTGCCCTTAGTAACTATGGTGATTACTATTTTATAGGTATCCCCGTAACCTGTCCCTCCTTATATCATCCTATAGGGCGGTCTGCGGACCTTTCTTTTGGGATGGAATATGGTGACATGTGAGTAGCTAACCAGTCATGAAGTTATAGTTAACCTTTGCATATGTTAACAACCAAATCGTGTATTTTCTAATATTGTGTAATTGATCCCAGAATATTCATATTCTTGTTGCAATTAATCCATGTGACACATATATGAATATAATCAAAGGCAATCAACATAGCCAGGTGAATAACAATTAATATAACCAGTCATGTTGCTATAATTATCCTTTGCATATATTAACAACCAAACGTGTATTTCCAATGGTGTGTTTGTAGATACATGAGTATACTTGTTACAATCAATCCATGTTAACACCTATATAAATATAACGCAAAATACACTTACATAGCTATAACTTTACACTTTGTGATAATAATAGCAAATTTTTTTAAAAAATATACAGATATAGTCATTTTGTCAATAACTTTAACGGCCCCGTGAAAATGTTGATTGGACTAACCTTTCTTTTGGTGGAAAAAAAAATACCAAAATACACATGTTTTTTTAAAAAGTTCCCAAAATACACACGTTTTATGAAAAATTTCCAAAATACACATGTTTGGGCATCACTGTAGTCGTCAACCGCAGTGAATGCAATCACCACGACAGACGAAAGCGGTGAATGCATCACGCGGTTGACGGCCGCGGTGAATGCCTGACCTAACACTGAAACTTCAAATGAACGTAACTTTGCGCTCGGTACCCATGCCCCGCCCCATGCTATTGTGGGTCGAGATGAGTAATACTCACGTGGATACGGGGCGGGTGGGTCGACCCACTTTTACATGTTATTTAAATAAAACACACAAAATTTTACTTTTATGATAAACCGAAGGAGAAAACACTTTATGAATAAAAAAAGTGATAATAGAATGTGTAATTGAATCTAACTAGTTGAAAGATCAAGTCTAACTAGTTGAAAAAAGTCCAAACATGAGAAATATGAAGAGTAACATGAGAAATTAAAATAGAATGGGCAAAAAACGTGACGAGACGGAACAAAGCGGGACGAAAATAGAGTGAGTCGGATCAGATAATACCCGACTAGAGGTGGCAATTAGGATCCAAATCATGAAGCCAATCCAATCCATCCACCAAATTATCCACTTAATCCAATCCATTTAAATCCAATCTATTTGATCCAAATCTAATTGGATTGGTGGATTTATGGATCAATCCATGGATCCAAATGACAATTACGATTTGGTACCTATATTTTTTATATTTTACATTTTGGTACCTAAAATTTATAATTTTATACGAAAAATATCATTGGAAAATTACATTTTGGTACCTAAAGTTTTTCATTATGACATTTTAGTACCTAAACTTTTCAAAATTTACATTTTGGTCCAAGCCTTTGATGTCATTTGGATTCATGAATCAATCCACCAATTCATTGGATCCAATCCATGAATCCACCAATCCATTTGATCCATAGATCCACCGATCCAATCCACGAATCCACGAATCCGATTCAATTGCCACCTCTATACCCGACGGGGCAAGTTCAAAATTGTCAGTTGAGACGTTGGATTGGAAGGTAATTGTTCATTTTTAAGGTTGACATGCTGTCCACTAGATGACTCAATAGATTTGGATAACTTCAACTAAACAAAAGATTTCGGATTTGAGGCCCTAAAAAAACAAGTAAGAGTCATCTAATTCGTCCTATACACTTGATTTTTGTTTCCAATACTTTTCTTATTGCTGGTAGCTAGGCTGAGGATAAATGACTCTCTAAATCCTTAATCACTTCCCAATCAACTATATTGGTGCCTCACGAGCCAAATCAGTGACCACATGGAGTTCTTGGATAAGTATGATACCTATGTTGACGTGATTTGAATTGGAGTCTTAGTCGCTATGAATGGAATAGTCGGGGTGCCGTGGTGTATGGGCTCAATGTTATTTGGGTTCGAGTTCTGGGCCTAGTTTGTAACCGTTTCCTTTGGCATATTGGATTAGGTTTAAACCCACATGAAGAAGTATAAATACTTCTCATCTCCTCTGTAATCTTCACGATATAGTAAAACTGGCTCTCTCTCGCCCGTGGACTAGCTAACACACATCGTGTTAGTGAACCACGTAAATTTTGTGTCGTATTTTCGATTCTCGCTTTCGTATTCTTGCTTTCTCGATTCCGGCGATTTCTCGATCCGTAGCAGCGCGTTTATAACAACCTTAACGTGGATTAAATTTTTGAACTGGTTGGTACTTTTCAAACAATATATCAAACCTCGAAGAACACCAGATTTAACGTGGTATCCTCAACGAGTATCGTTGAGACTAATCCACGGAGAGGATCAATCTCTCAGAGCCGATATATTTCACGAGAATTCTTGGGTTACAGAAGAGGGCGACCGCCCCTTATATACATCCAGCTGCCACCTAACCCTATCACGTGAATGACATAATTAACCTACTTAACATAAATATACATGGTTAATTACAACTGACTCCTAATACTTCTAACACCCTCCCTCTAATTGATGGTGCTTTCACAACATCAATTTGTAAGCCAGGAACCAATGACGAGCTTTCGCGACAGCTTTAATTAACAAGTCAGCTGTCTGGTCTTCAGAAGTAATATATGCGAGTTCCACCTGCGCTTCAGTCACTAACTGCCGTATGTAATGGACATGCACCTCAATGTGCTTAGTCCGATCATGCAACACTGGATTAGTAGCAATCCGAATAGCGCTGGTGTTATTCGCATATAAGCGAATAGGAGAAACACACTATCTCTGAAGTAACCTCAGAATCGACCGCTATTCAGCTTCGGTAGATGACTTTGACACTCGATCCTGTTTCTTACACCGCCAGGAAACAAACGATGAGCCAACCTTGACACACCAGCATGAGGTAGAAAGGCGAGTGTCCAGGCAACCAACATAATCGGCGTCTGCATAAGCCTCTATAACAGGATCATCGGTCGCAGGGAAAAATAGACCAACATCCTGAGTACCTCGTAGATAGCGAAGAATCCAAGTGACTGCCGCCATGTGAGAAGTCCGCGGAGCTGACATAAACTGACTCACGACCTGCACCGCATAGGAAATGTCAGGGCGAGTGTGAGTAAGATATATCAGACTACCAACCAAACTCCTATAAAGAGATCCATCGGCAAGGGGTTGCCCATCATCCCGGTAATACTTCACGTTCTGTTCCAACGGTGTACCACAGGGCTCACATTTATCCAGCTGAGCAGTCTCGAGGAGATCCACGATATATTTCTGCTGACAAACCAGTAACCCTGCTGAAGAATGGTGAACCTCAAGGCCGAGAAAATATGAGACGTCGCCCAACTCCTTCAACTTAAATGCTTCCCGAAGAGTCTGTGTAAGAGTACAAATTTCATCTTGATCATCACCACTGATAATCATATCGTCAACATAAATAGGAAGGACAGTGATCCCACGAGAAGTGTGGCGAAGAAAGAGAGATGGATCATTCTCACTCTGCAGAAAACCAGCTTGTATGATAGTCGCATGAAATTTCTCAAACCATGCCCGGGGGGCTTGTTTCAACCCATAGAGAGATCTTTTCAACAGGCACACCTTCGATTTGTCGCCGTTCAGATAGCCTGGGGGACACCCCATGTAGACCGTTTATTTGAGATCCCCATGCAGGAACGCATTCTTCACATCAAGCTGCTGCAAACCCCAACCCCGCATAGCTTCCACGGCAAAGACAGTTCAAACTGTTTGCATTTTGGATACCGGAGCGAAAGTTTCTTCATAGTCAATGTCGAATTCTTGTTGAAATCCTTGTGACACCACCCTTGCCTTATGCCTTTCAATAGATCCATCGGGATGTACCTTGATTGCATAGACCCACTTAGAACCCAGAACCGAGTGATCCCGTGGCCGAGGAACCACTTCCCACGTACCTTGAGCTTCAAGAGCTTGTGTCTCAACTTGCATAGCTACATCCCAGCAAGAATGCCCACGCGCCTGCTTGTATGTTGTTGGGATGGGAATAGAGGGAGTGGAGAAGGCCACGAAGTCAGCAGAGAGATGGGCAGGAGGTTTCCCTTTATTCGCCCGCAATGACCGCCGAGGCTGAGCTGTTTCAACGGGGTCTAGCTGATGGGGTTCCATAGAGGTTGGAGAAGCGGGAATCGTGGAAGCCGAGAAAGAGCCTGAGTCCTCATGCTGGGTAGAAACCAAAGAAGCGCCAGAATTCTCCTGCTGGGTAGAAGAAGTCCCATGAGAACCATTGGAGCCCTGGTTAGAATGTGAGTCGGGGGAGGAGGATCGGCTTGAGGGAGTCCTCCCTAGAGCCATGGAATCGCGCGGTGATGGAGGATCATGCGCTACGTCCTCAGCGTCGGGCTAAAGAGGAAAAGCCGAGGACGGGAACAAGAACTCCAAGTCTGGGCGTGGAACCTGAGCTGATCGAGCATAATACATAAAATTCTCCAGGAAGGCAACATCACGAGAGATACGAATCCGGCGAGCAGCAGCGTCATAACAAGCATATCCCTTATGCTTTGGACTATATCCAACGAAGACACATTTCGTCGCCTTTGGCGAGAGTTTGTGACGCTCTCTTCGAGGAAGAAGAACGTAACAAATACAGCCAAATACTCGTAGCCTGCGGTAGTCAGGTTTCTTATTATAGAGGACTTCAAAAGGACTCCGTTTAGAGAGGACCAGAGTAAGTTGCAGGTTTATCAAATAGACGATTGTGTGAACTGCTTCCACCCAGAAGGTAGATGGAACAGAAGACTGAAACAAGAGGGCACGTGTGAGCTCCAAAACATGCCTATGTTTGCGCTCCACGATTCTGTTTTGCTGTGATACACCTGGACAAGACTGTTGCGGTAAAATGCCACGCTCTTTAAACACCTCCTGTAATGGTCCAGATGTGAACTCACCACCCGGATCGGATCTAAGGA